TTGTTCTAGGTAAAGCGAACGTTAAGTGTGAGTAGAGTTATATTGGTGGTCGATAGAACTTGAAGGGAATATTAATTCTACCTTTAGCTCCTCGTTGGGTTCGACACTCTTACTTATTGAAAGAGGCTACTATTGATCCCCTATACTTGTGGGTTATCAGGAGGTGGTGACATGAGATAAGAAGGGCGATAGCAGGGTCAACATGAGGACAAAAAGGGAGGCAGTGAGAGGAGGCAAGGGGGCGACAGTGGGAGATAGCGGTTCCTGGCCAGAATATGGACGTGACAATCGTGTCATCACATCCTCCAAGTTGTAGAAAAGGGAAAGAAGTGTCTGAGTGTGCTCCGGAAAGATAACTACATTGTTATTATTGTTTTATAGTATGCTTATATTTGCTATTGGTTTAGTGGAATTAATTGTGTAATAGTCAAGCAGGTCGCGAAGCAATGTATAGCTTAATAAGTGATAATTAGCTTTGCTCTTTTTTTTGCTTTCATATGCTGTTTTTTTTGCGGAGATAACTATCAATTTATTCATCAACTGTCAAGGTAGTATAAAGAATACTAGAAGTAAAAGATAGTACGTAGACCACATACCAACGACTACTAGCACTGGAGCAAGCCGAAGGCGCACCGCCATTTTCTCCCATCCCTCATCGGAGCCAGGCAAACCTTGTTGTAGTAGACAGTCGGGAAGTCGTCGTGCAAAGGCCCCATAAGGACCAACACACCAGAACAACAATGTGTCGCTGATGAAGAGAAGCGTAGGTCGGAAGGATCCAACCTGTAGACACACGAACACAGACGAACGAAGACATAATCCACATGGATCCACCGAAGACAAACGCCGACCGAATCCCGCGAGATCCGTCGGAGACAAACCTCCACACGCCCTCCGATGATACTAGAAACACCGTCGAGACGAGGACTAGGAGGGCAGAACCTTACTCCATCTCCAGAGAGCCGCCGCCGCCTCGCCTCTCTAAGTAGAACAGAAACCCTAACAAAACTAAAAATAGCATGAAAAAATGGAGCCCTCCCGCCGGCAAGGGTCGGGATCCACCACGCCTCAATTGACCTAAGGCCAGAGGAGACGAGGTAGACCGGCGGCGACACGAGAAACCCTAGCCAAAGGGTCCTCTTTCTTCGACGGGAAGAAAGAAAACGATCACTGCTTTCGTATGATGTTAAAGCATATTTCAAGTTGAAGAGGAACCATAATTTATAGAATACTATATGATGATTTTTTTTCACACATGTGCAATTTTTACATGAATTTATGTGTGCATTATGCTTATATGTGCGGCAAGAAAAGAAACTGACTGACATGAGATAATTGCCCATGGTTGTAAGTTTATGTGATATTTATTCCGATATATTCGTAAGCACATGGTCGCGAATATCAGCGATATCCTTTTATCAATGTCTTTATATAAGTTTGTTGATCCATAGTACTCCCTTCGTTCAAAACAAATATCGTTGATTTAGTACAATTTGTATTATATTTATAATAAATCAGTGACATTTATTTTGGAATGGGTGGGAGTATTAAGTAGGGCAGTGACATTTATTTTGGAATGGGTGGGAGTATTAAGTAGGGCATTCAAGTAGTAATAACAGTAAAAACAAAGTAGTGCCAGAAAGGACGACAAAATCTGTTCACCACCTTGCCGCTTGTGGTCTCTCCCTCCCGTGTGCGTGCGGCGTTGCGTCACTCATCCATCCTCACCCCCGTTTACCCATCCTGCTTCTGCCTCACTCGATTCAGTGCAAGTGACCAGCACCGGCCACCAGGAAGCAGCGGGCAGCGCAGTGGGAAAGAAGGAACGCCGCAAGAGAAGGGCGCTGGGACCGCGCTGCTCGCCGCGGCAGAGATCCGGCTGCGGCGGCCGAATCGACGGCCATGATGAGGCACAGAGCTCGCTCTTCCCCCAGCTCCCCGCTCACCCCATCCTCCAGCACGAGGTGACCTATCCATTTCCTCAGTTCTTCTTCCTCCGGGCTTTTCTTCGCCGGTTCTTGTGACGAAATCGCTGCAAGCAAATTTATATGTGAAATCGCCGGAAGTTCGCACTAGAGCCGCGGCCATGGTGATGGCTGGACCAGGCTTAGAAAGCCCTTTTTTTTTATTTGCCACCTTGAATATACGAGCTAGTACTTAGAACGAGGAATCTTGGAGTCCTTTTTGGCACTTTATTTATTCAGTAAGACAACAATCTACTAGGAAATAATGAATAAATAAAGAATAAGAATAAGAATGCCAGGTCCGCCGAAAGGTGGGCGTGTTGCTTCGATTTCAGATTCATGGATTGGTAACGTGGGTACTGCAATGTCGATCTTGGGCCAAAAAGTAGCTGCACAATCATCACTGTAATTTCGAGACAATCGGGCAAAAACAGTGCACAAGTCAGCCTCCGTTCCCCTTCACCTTTTTTTCTTAAGGACAGCACAAGGGGATCTCCGAGGTCGGGTCCTCACCCTCAGCGTCGTGGAACCTGGCGGTATCAACATGGAGCAGTAATGCACTTGGCGTTGACATTGCAGCACGCTATCTTTCCGCTTCAACCACTAGCGCGGGTTTGGATAGAAACAATGTGTTAATGATGTGCTCCGCACTTTAGCTTGACCTTGAGTTAATGATATGCCCAGAGCATCAGCAGGCCATCATGTTTTTTCTCTGAAAAGTAGGATAAACCATCGGCCTCTGCATCGATTGATTCACACAACTGTATATTATTAATTAATGATAATACCGAACAAATCAACATAATAAAATAGTACTCCCTCCGTCCAGAAATAATTGTCATCAAAATGGACAAAAAGAGATGTATCTAGAACTAAAATACATCTAGATACATCCCCTTATATTCATTTTGATGACAAGTATTTCCGGACGGAGGGAGTAAAAAGAAAGAACTCGAGACCAAAGCTAAAGTGATATATTAGCAGGCAAAGAGCGCAACGTTCCAAGAAGGAACCGCCGCTCGCACGCTGATGTTGGCTCATCCAACCAGATGTGAGACCAAGGGCTATCGCTCCGAAGCAGATCTTTGAACAAACACCTTCAACAAGGTAACGATGTACCGTGTACGTACGTCGGCGCTGCATGATCAAGCCCCAAAGGCAAGATCATGGGTTTCCACTTGGAGAGAATGCATCCGCAATGCCTGCCGCCATACTCGTCGTCCACCACACTACCGGCTTGCTCACACAGAACTAGCAGGCCAAAGGAGAAGTCACCGGAAGGGAAGACGTCGTCACCTTGGCTTATAATGGGTGTTGCGTGGATACCCTCATTGCGTGGATACCGGAAGATGCGAACAGTAGTCTTCTGATTTCCATTGCTCCATTTCCCGCCTGTCCAGGATTTGTCAATTGCAAGAATCTCATGGCTCTATCCATACGAAGGTGTTGCATTCCTCAAGAAAGTTGTGATCTTAGTTCGATCTTTTCTTGTATGTAGGTCTGTAACCATCATGTTCATTTCAGGTTGCATAATTGGTTAGTGTCAAGGGATTATCATTTTAGCTCACATGGGAGATTCTTTCCCATTAGCCCCATTATCATTGAATGCGAAATTAAACTGTTGAGCAAACATGTTGATTAGCCAGCACATCCGTCATTTGCTAGAAAATCACGATTTGATTTGGCAAGGCGCCGACTAGAGGCTTCTTCTTCATTTTTCACAAGAGTGATAATAAATGCCACAAAAACTTATAATCGGTTCTAAATTATTACTGTGCTAATTAGTCAACTCACGTTAGCCAATTAACGGACTGAAGACCCACCTAGCATGATCCAGTTAATCATCATTAGTTACAACTACTTCAGCTATTGCCTATTTTGGTGAAAGAGTTAGAACAGATTGCATGATCATTTGTTAGATATTTTTGAGTTATATCATGTAAAATGAATTGAACAATGAACATTGAGCAACATACTAATGATTTGGACTAGTTTTCTCTACCAATTTATTTTCAAACTCATCTGGAGCCAGATCAAATCACCAGTTTTCATGACAAACTGGTCCATATGTGTTGGAGATCTCAAACTGTCATGCTGTGCCTATGTTTTGCCTTTCTGTGAAGGAGTAGAAGCTTGTCGTTGACTCCTCCTCTATCTTCAGTTCAAATGTGAAACGGCGTGAGGTTTAGTATGCAGTACAGTTGATCTAAATGAAGTCTGTGAGAAATTTGAGGCACACAAATATTAAACACTGAAGGAAATTTGAGTTGCGCAGTTATCTCAGAAGACTTCTTTTATTCCTCACATTCCATGATCCCAAAATTTGGAGCTGTAACCAGGCACTACACAATAGGAAAGTATAATAGTAGTATATTAGTTGAAATGAAAGGAAGATTACCAAAAGTGGATTTTTTAGTTACAATCGTGTTCAACAACTGAGGTGTAATAGTGTATACTTTCATCACATACCGGCATGAGTGTAACAGAATATTTCGCGTAATTTACTGGACCGTGGTGGGGGAACTCTCCTTGCATAGTTGCATTCTACAGCATAAACAATTTACACACTTTCCTTATTTGGCAGAGCGAAGAAGATATTTGGTTTCTCCGTATCTCTCATCCTCATCAATCTGGCTTCTATTATGGAGCGTGCTGATGAGAATCTTCTTCCAGCAGTTTACAAGGAAGTCGGTGCAGCCTTCAATGCTGGTCCCACTGACCTGGGATACCTTAATTTTGTAATGAACTTTCTTAAGTCGATAGCATCGCCCTTGGCCGGCATCCTTGCTCTTCACTATGATCGCCCAGCAGTGCTTGCAATAGGAACTGTCTTCTGGGGCTGTTGGTGTTAGCCAGCATTTTCAGCAAGTTGCATTCTGGAGAGCTATAAACGGCCTTGGACTTGCCATTGTAATACCAGCACTTCAGTCGTTCATAGCGGATAGCTACAAAGATGGTACACGCGGAGCTGGGTTTGGTTTGTTAAGCCTCATCGGTGCAGTAGGAGGTATAGGTGGTAGTATTGTGGCAACACTCATGGCTGGGAAGGACTACTGGGGATTGCCCGGGTGGCGTCTTGCTTTTATTATGGTTGCGCTTGTCAGCTTCATAATTGGAATTCTTGTGTACTTGTATTCTACTGATCCAAGAAGAATCCCTGGAAATCATCTTCTAGATGATGACGACTACGAGAGGTATTCCCCTTATTAATTTTTAAATTGTGTGTTTGCTTAATTTATTTTATCTTGTCATGCTGCGAGGCTTCATTAATCAGAACTAGTATCCGAGTCCTGCTAAAACGAGTCTAAAGAACACCCTTACAGAGAGAGCTCTTTGTGTGTTGTGTACAGTAATTTGGTGATCATATAGATGCTATGATTAACTCCGCCTATGTCTTCTAGGCATAGCCGGTCCCAAGCCCGGGTAAAGGAGGAGGGTTGTGATAGGCTTGGCGAGCCAACGTAAAAACTAGCCAGTCCCATAGGTATGAAACCCATTTGAGCGAGAATAGTACTAGGATGGGTGACCTCCTAGGAAGTCCTCGTGAAAGGGTTTCATATCTAAGGGTTGTGATAGGCTTGGCGAGCCAACGTAAAAACTAGCCAGTCTTTTGGGTATGAAACCCATTTGGGCGAGAGTAGTACTAGGATGGGTGACCTCCTGGGAAGTCCTCGTGAAAGGGTTTCATATCTAGCCTACCCCAACTTGTTTGGGATAAAAGGCTTCGTAAGTAAGTAAGTATAGATGCTATGATTCTGCCGGATAAGATGCTATCATGATTTTCTATTTACTTGCAGGAACATAAATTTGAGTTGTAAGATTTGTTCTGCGGTGATTAATATGTGATGGGGCTGATTCTAAAGATGCATATCTCTTGTTTCATTACTTTGTCCCTTTCAGTTTGTAACTGCTGATAAAAAACCAAAAGATTTCCTTGGTCAGTGAAGCTTGTTAACTTGAAATGTGACTGCATTAGGGGTGCTTTGGTTTACATGATAGATTTCTTCTTGCTCTAACTGAAGTGTGTAGCAATTGAGCCAAAGCTAGCAAAGAGATGAATGAACATAAACATTGATATCCTCCTCTTTTCCCAAGTTACATTTGTCCAGCAAAGATGTTCTTCCTCCGACCTCTATCTGGATGGATTCTTGGGTAGCAATGAAGAGTGTCATGAAAGTGAAGACATTTCAGATCATTGTGTTGCAGGGGATAATTGGCTCATTGCCCTGGACCGCAATAGTTTTCTTCACCATGTGGTTTGAACTCATTGGTAAGGCAAACAAGCTGATAAGCTCCTACATTAAATTCTCTAAAAGAAAGTTGAATATTGACGCTCCATGTTTGAACTCCTCTTAGGTTTTGACAATAGGAGTTCTGCAGCATTGAACAGCCTATTCGCCATTGGGTGTGCCAGTGGAGCTCTCCTTGGTGGTGTACTAGCAGATCGCCTGTCACGGCACTATCCTGATTCTGCACGCATCATGTGCGCTCAGTTTAGCGCCTTCATGGGCATTCCTTTCTCATGGATCCTCCTTACGGTCATTCCTCAGTCAACTGACTACTGGTTTGCCTACGCCGTCACACTCTTCTTTATGGGTATCACCATCAGCTGGTGTGCTACTTCGGCAAACAACCCCATGTTCGCGGAGGTAGTCCCTCCCAAGCACCGCACCATGATCTACGCCTTCGACCGGGCTTTTGAGGGCTCGTTCGCCTCACTGGCCGCTCCTGCTGTTGGCTTGGTCACTGAGAAGATATATGGCTATGACGCCAAGACTGTAAACATCGCCAACGGATCAGCACAAGGGGCGTATGCACTGTCGAGAGGGCTACTAACCATGATGATCCTTCCTTTTGGTATCTGTGTCCTGTTCTACAGCCCTTTGTACCTTGTGTTCAAGCACGACAGAGACAATGCCAAGGTAGCCAGATTCAAGGACCAGGAGCTAATCTGAAGATAAAAATATTTCTGCAGTGATGTTTCTGATAAGGATTCAAGCTTATTTGTGAATGTTTTGGTTGTAAATCAGAGCAGAAGACAATATATGCTATCAGGGAAATGTGATGCTAGTTCTAACAAAGTGCCAACATTACAAGATATAATCCAAGCACATTGTTTACTTGTACATGACAACTTAAACTGCTATCTTGTAGAACTTAGACCACTGCATTTCGTGTATAATTAACTTTAAAATGCACAAAGTTCCCCGGCTACATGCTACAACGTACAAGAAGATTCATTTTCATAAGGAATGTCCTCGGTGTCTTCTCCTGTAGTACATGTCAACAGTGGAAACATCATTAATAAAATCTAATAATGTATTGTGAACACATAATTCAAAAGTAATGTTAATGCAGAAGAGAATCAAAGTGTAACCTGAATCCCTAGATGTGGAGTATTCTATGTCTGTATTTGCAGGCTCGGTGTCTTCTCCTTTACATAGTAATATAAACAGATAACTAAGAGACGTCAGTGCAGAAGAGAACCAAAATGCAACCTGAATCCTCAGGTAAATCTTCCCAGATACTTCAACGACTTCTTGCCTTTGCATCCGCATTGAGCTTCTTCTTCATTAGCATCGACCCACCTCAAAAAAAATCACAGGGCCACCGAGCACTAAATTCAAAGAAAACTTACCTTATGGTTCAGGCATTTGTAGAAATTCCGATGCACGTTGCCATTTCTTGTTCCCATTTTGAACTGCTTCACGTATAGGATTCAGGCGCCAGCACAGAATAGGGATACCCGCTAACAAAATCAGAGCGCAGCAACCTTTTGGGAATCGAAAACAGACCGTCTTGCAATAAAAGAGGCAGAGCAAGGAGCACCAGTGACTACATAAAAGAGGCTATTCAATAATAACATGTTGCAGAAGGCCACAAATGCTGTGGCAGATCGATCACAGTCAAAGGCACACACATTATAACACCAAACAACAAACGAAACAACCGGCAATGACAACAACTTAGCCCCTGCAATTCGGTCCCTCCTTTCTTTCAGGTGAAGCTCATCAACGGTGAGCCGCACAGCTGCACATCCGAGACGTCTGAGAGCCTCATCCTGGAGCTCGACCCCATCTCGAACTCCTCCAGGTCCGAGATGCTCTTCCTCTTGTGTGCTGCCGCTGCTTCCTGCCTCAAGCTCTCCTCGGAAGAATCCTTGGGGGTGATGCTTGGGGCCTCAGACGCCTCCAGGATCGGGCTCAGCATTGGCTGCTGCTGCATCTGGTTCTGCTGCGCCACCATCTCCGCCTGGGCTTCCGCCACCGTCGAGGGGTCATCCTCCGAAGCGTAGAGTATCTTCTGGATGGCCTTAACAATCTGCACACAGGATAAAGATGTCATCATCAACATTGCCCTGCTGTTGTACTCTACAAGCATGGTGTTTACACTTGTTCAGAAGGTTTTTTTTAAGACTCGTCAACAGTGCTGAACACAGTAATAAGTTGGGTATGATGACCTACTGTTGCATCATTGACAAGCTTAAAACTCAGCAACTGACACAAACTAGGAGAATGAGCATTTCTGCTACTTACCGGTAAATGCTCAACCTCTGGGCTCTGGCACAAGATCTCGACGTCCCGCAGCTTGGAGAAATAGAAATCCCTCTCTTTCTCGGCGCTATCAACAAGGAGTTTCAGCTCGGTCATCTGCAAAGTATCATTGTCAGAATACAGGACTTGTGCAATGCCGAGAGACAGCAAGAACGTTATGCTCAGCGCTCATGCCAAGTCACTCTCACCTGTGCATCGTAAGCTGGCGCTGCAGCTGGAGGTGGGTTTGCGCACCGCTGTGGAGCATTTGAAGCATGCCCATTGGCCCGTTTAGCAGCGTGCGGTGGAGGCTGAGCTTTGTGGGTGGCGGATGCAGACTTGGCAGGCGCCTGGGAAGTCCCTGATGTCCTTCTGTTGGTGTCTTTCCCACCCTTGCTACTTTCTCTTCTCTCAGAAGCATTGTAGCTGTGTGTTCATAACACAACAAGAGACAAGTGTTAAGAGGATTTTAAACAGATATGATTAGCACAATTGGTAACACTAAACAGGCTGAGAGCATTTGAGAGATAGCAACAATTAAATTGGTCATCTATGCTACAGAAAGAAGGGGGTTGAGTACCTGGTCATGAATCCGCCATTGACAGAATCACAATATCTTTTCATCCACTGCATGAACTCTAAGTTGTCAAGAGGTCTTCCTTTGATGAGCTTATTCACTTCAATATGCTGCAACAGTGAGAAAAGATCATAATGTTCAGTTACATTAATAGTCTCTATGGAATAAAAAGAAGTAAGGATATAAGCAATAATAATCCAGATTGCTCATAAGGATCGAATTTCAGTTTTCACAGTTCTGATGACAAACGGCAATTCTCCACACAGCAAAAAACACCATTATTTAGGTTGTACACAGTTTAAAAATACTATATAGCTAATAGGGTAACCTTCTTTTCATTGGGCTTATGAACTTGAACTAATTCAGATCCGTATTTTTAGCAGCCTAAAAAATTGATGACTTGACCCTTCACTTCCACAATCCACAAAACTACATATACCCATCAAATTACTAGCCAATTGCCTAATTCATGGCTCAGTGTCTGTATATTGAATTCTGGTGACCGCAACTCCACAATGAACTGATAAACCTACAAATTCTTAGTGCATCTAAGTGTTCTATGCCTTGGTATTGTTCGGTTGTCTCAACCTTAGAACTGCATACAACTCTGGCACCACTGAAATAAAACACAAAACTCTAGAAATCCACTGCAATTTCTGGTAACCAAGCGTAGTTGCAACCTTGGGTCCTCTCCAAGTCCATGCAGTAGTACATACCACTGGATCTAGAATCAGAATTCGGGGCAATCAATCGTTTCTTACAGAAACTACAGGCTACCGAACAAACACGCGCCCATACAGCACGGCCAAAATCTAAATCAGCCTCGTGTGCGGAGTAATCTGGCGGCATGAGC